GTCTGTGCAAGAAACTGAACATTATTTACAACATTATTACCTGTAAACCATAGCCTCAGGCAAACTGGAGTGATTTCCAGTTCAATTTCCAGAACTACTAATTCTTTTGAACCTGTTCTTTTTAGTGAAGTCGATATACCAGTGCACTAAATCAGACTGCGACTGATCCAGTGTACTGGCAAATATAATCAATATGATGCCGGTTTTTGCATTGTTTGTGGCTATGCATTACAGTGAATGTCTTTGACAAGCTTTTTTTCCATGATTAAAATGAGAAGATGACAAGACGGCAATAAGGTCAATAAACGATAACTGTGACTATATCAACATGCAATATTGTTGACGATAAAAAACGAGACTAAAATGTATTTTGAAAAATAAAAACTATACCAAAATCTCTTTTTATTTTCGTCAAGAGAGAGAGAAAAAAAGGAGACAAAATATTGCAGACTGCTGTACATCCCTCTACTACGCAAGATTTTGTGTGTGGTTACCAGATATCAAGAGTTCAAATCCCCAATTTGGCAACCATGTGCTCGCTCTTCATCATGAAATAGGGTGACCAGATGTCCCGTTTTTCCCGGGACAGTCCCGTATTTCAGCTCTATTTTTAGTTATTTTGAAAAAATCATGTTTTGTCCCGTATTTCCAAATTTCTTTACGACTGGGTGATCAGAGCAATACTAGAAGTGTTCTGTCAGGCGAGAACAGCCTAATCCAAGGTAACTAAGCTTGTCGTAGAACAAAATTACCATCCAATCACAATTTATCGATTGCAGTAAGTGAAGGTGGGATAGATGAGCGGAATCACGCTGAATGACACACAGAAGCGCGGGCGCCTGCACGATCCCAGTTCTGCGATCAGTTCTCCTTGCGCCTTGCGCCTTTATTGTCAAATACACACACAGCTGTGGATACTCCATCATGTGGAGTATCTCACGTAAATGCAGTCGGTTATGGCTTAAGTGAACGTAAACAGGTGGGTGAAAACCGGATATATGTGTCACTATATTACATTCATTCGGTCTTAAAGGGAAAGCAGCCTAATTAAATACCTGACTTTCTCATTAATCTGCTAATCAAACAACAAAAGATGTTAAATAAATGTATACCCCCCTAGTATTGGGTGGGAGGGTTTAGGATTAGGCAATTAGGTAGCAACTTCAACAAGGGGGTAATAATTTGGCAGGGGGTTGAATTTGGGCACAATACCGGCAACCCACCAAAGTAAAAGCGTGCTGATTTTAGGTTTGAAAATTATGAAAATTCATATAAAGAAATCAAACAGTAAAAAGGGAAAAAAAATATGTAAAATTAAGCATTTTATTTGTAGGTGTACTATAAAATAATTTTATTTTTATTTAATACTCACTTTTTATTTTAATATATAATAGTATCACACTTTATTATTTTGTTTATTTGATTTTAAAAAAACTGAGTAAAGTGCAATAATATTCTTATTACTATAATTTATTTTTATAGTTATATTTAATAGGTCACACTATATGTGCAGTGTGAGCACCAAACCAAATCTCCAGGTGCTCTGATGAGAACCAGACTGAAAAACTCACGTGCACCCCTGGTTATAATTTTGTTTGTTTGTTTGTTTTTACCAGTTTTCATAATATAGACAGAGAGAGTGCTTATCTAAGTCTTTGATATTAATTTATATATTAAATAGTTTATTAGTACACTAGATGAGGTAAAATAAACCATGTGTAGGCTGAGTCCACATTCTATTGACTTGTGCTTATTGGTGAAAGTGCAATACCTGAAAGGTAAAAGTAAATTTCTCAAATGACAACAATCATTGCGATTAATAAAATATATATTTTTGCTCAAAATTATAGTTTAACCATTATACAGCACGATGAAAATATGATAGTTGTGAAGGTGAAAGTTTTCATTGACTATAACTAGACTAAAATGCTCAGACATTTAGTCGACTAAAACTTGACTAAACAAAAACAGGACAAGGTTGACTAAAAAGTATAACTAAAAAGTAGTTCGACACATTTGACACAGGACTAAGACTTATTTAAAAGACTAAGACTAAATTAAAAATGGCTGACAAAATTAACACTGCATTCTATATTACATTCATTCGGTCTTAAAGGGAAAGCAGCCTAATTAAATACCTGACTTTCTCATTAATCTGCTAATCAAACAACAAAAGATGTTAAATAAATGTATACCTGTTAAACGTACTGTATAAGAAAAAAACAAGTTAATTTAATATTTAATTTGTATCTATTGTATTTGTCTTATGGGTTGTAATTTGCTTCTTTGTGTTTATATAATAAAATATATATTTTTGCTCAAAATTATAGTTTAACCATTATACAGCACGATGAAAATATGATAGTTGTGAAGGTGAAAGTTTTCATTGACTATAACTAGACTAAAATGCTCAGACATTTAGTCGACTAAAACTTGACTAAACAAAAACAGGACAAGGTTGACTAAAAAGTATAACTAAAAAGTAGTTCGACACATTTGACACAGGACTAAGACTTATTTAAAAGACTAAGACTAAATTAAAAATGGCTGACAAAATTAACACTGCATTACAGGTATAAATAATGCTCAGTTTCTTGCACAGACCAATTGTTTCGCTTTGTAAGACCTCAATATATCGTCAGGAGCCTTGGGTATTAATTGTGTGATTTTTTGGCTCTTAAAGTGGTGATAGCCATTGACTTGCATTTTATGAATCACCAAGGACCATGATTTCAGGTAAAAATCTTATTTAATGTTCTACTGAAGAAAAAAAGTCACCTACATCTTGGGACCTCTAACTAGTCACCATTTCTGTAAAGTTTTTCACTATTTTTATTGCACGTCAGCTATAAATTTGTTATTCTTATTGTTGGTATAATGTTGTAACTGCTTGGACTGTGTGTAGTCACCATTTCTGTAAAGATTTTTACTATTTTTAATCACCGTTTTGCATATGTCAGCTATACATTTGTTATGCTTGGACTGTGTATGTGTGTTTGCATGAACCCACAGAAAATCAGCACAGCAAGCGGCACAGACAAACACTACTGCTATCCTCACTTCACCTGTGCCGTGGACACAGAAAACATCCGTCGTGTATTCAATGACTGTCGTGACATTATTCAGAGGATGCACCTCCGCCAATATGAACTCTTGTGATTGGCTGCCTGGATCGGTCGCTCCTCCAATCAACAATTATCCAGTCCCACATCACATGGTGGGGTCTTTAAGAACTACTGAAGAGTGACTGTTGTGGGGGTTTTTTTCTGCTTTTCACTTGTTTGCTTTCCTTTTATATATATATA